ATGGTTAATTCTGATCAGTTTTCATTTAGTGATTGTATTGTAAGGAACAGTTTTTTGACTCAGTATCTTAAAGGTGTTCTGATATCTACCTGTGTGTTCATGGAGCTCCATGCCTTCACACCACATTAGCAGCAGCAGCAGTAGGTTTCTGTAGCTTCTCCTCCTCCGCTGCCGTTCCCAGGTAGGAAGCCAGATAGTTTTTATGCGACCTGTAACTTCAAAACACATTCAACATTTATGTCTCAATGTAACGTCATCAGCGTATAAACACATTAATTAACACTGTATTAACAAGTCGAAAAATATATGAGATGTGATTTGTCGTGACAAGAAATGATCATTGTTTTATGAAAATAATTTGTCCAAATAACACAGAAACTAGGTGACATATTTATAGCCTCTCTGACACTTAGTTATGCCAGAGTTGCTGACGTTTTTATTCTCTTGAACTATTGACTTGATTACATTCAAATGACACACTTGACTTATCAAAGACTGAGAATTTGTTCAGGACGCCAAACGTCACACTTGAAATTATTGGCAGGTTAAAGTGTATGAGTCACACGTGCCATTAGCTACAATTAGCAATACATTATTTTTGCAACCAAATGCAGTTAAACCAGCAGTGACACAAACAGTCTTTCTGTTTGTGTCGCAGGAAAAAAAAAGTCTATGAAAACACTGAGTGATTCTGGCAGTAGGAAGTGCTGTTTCCTTACACCTGGAGGTGTCAATTCCAGGCTTAGAAAGTCAGAAGCCATCACCATGTAGGTGGCAGGACCTGTAGTTCTGAGCACTTTGGTTGGTCTTTAGAATTAGACCAGTACTATATGAAACCACTAATCATCCCTAAGCAGCTGACATTGAACCCTTTCTGTTGGATCATCACACCCTCAGTCCCTACCAACACATGTGGCCAGTATATACTGTAGAACAAGCGTTTTGTTAATTCAGTAAAGAGGGTCTTTGACCTTTAACCTCCCCTTTTACAATTGCAGCATCTGAAAAGGGAAATGCCAGAAGATAAAATCATATCACAGCTCCATACTGGTAAATGTGGTTACCAGATAATACTGTGTCCTCTCTCTGAGGGCAGGAAGCCAGACCCCTACAGCGTAGGTGTGTTTGGGTGTGTTGTGTGCTTTCTGATGTGTGGTTATGGACAGGAAATTATTTGTATGAGGTTTAGCAGGGTGTGGATACTTCAAATACCCTTTTCTGTTAATGATTGATGAAATTGTTGTACTTGCATGCACACTTGCATCATGTCTGGCCCCGTAAGCGTAAGAGAAAAGATCAGAAACATAAATAAGGTGTGGCCCTGGCATGGTACTGTATATGGTTTTGGTTTAGATTTTACTACAGAAAGAATTGGTGACTTACTGAGCACAGGTCATGAGCAGAATGGCCATGCAACTGATGACTGATAGGACCACAGCAATGATGACCAAGACCATCTGCACCAACTCAGTATCACTGCTCAGGCCAGAGTTGGTTTTGCTGGATTCCAGAGTTTGGATCCCGCAACGCTCACCATCGTAACCCTTCATACATCTGCAGAGTGGGGAAAAAAAATGTTCATGAATGATGTAAAGCATGTGAATGCATAAAACAATAGAACAATATGTGGGCCATATCCTGGAAATGTAGATAATTAAAATTTAATATTATAATTATATTAAATTACTATTATGTATAAGTCATTTTTGCTGGATGGGTTCCGGTGTGATACCACAAAGCGCAAGTTGGGTGAATCAGAGCGAACACTACCTAATAACTGTGTGGGCCACCACAGAACCAAACTAAAATATTGTAGAGCTAGATCAATTAATTGACTTCACTCAAATTAGAAATTTCCCTGTATTGAATTTTGCATTGAATTTATTCACAGCCGCTAAAATTTCCATTTAGCATCTACGGGGATGTAATGGGGTCAAAAAAGCATGTGTATTAGCCACTGTATTTGTAAAGTGCAAATGTACAAGTCTAGTGTAACGAATGTGGCTGATTTATACTTGTTACTGAATCTGCCTTCTAAAAATAAAGGTCATATCCAACCCCTTTATATCCAAACCATTAAATGTAAGTGAAGCTGCACTCACATGCACACGGGCTCCTGCACACCCTCCATGTGTTTGCAGTAGCCATGAATACAGTAGCTCAGGTGGGTGGAGGTGCAGGGGTCCTCTGTGGTGCCGGAGGTCGACGTGTAGCCGCTGGTGAAGTTGGTGTGCTCAGGGTTGACCGGAGTGGTAGTTTTGCCCCTATGCTTGTGCTTCTTCTTGCCCTTGCCCTTCCTTTTCTTCTTGTCATCGTTACCAGAACGAGGCTCTGTGAGTTACAGGGGGAAATAAATGTGACCAGGGCTGTTTGGAATAAAAGGTGGGAAAAATGTAAAGGTCTTTCTGTTTTACTTTCATACTGAGTATCATCAGTAATGAGTTGCACTCATTAAGAACAAACATAGATTTTATTGTTCCTGTTTCAGATTAGGACAAAGTCAATGTTAGGATGGAAAGAGTTAACGTACCAAAAGGGATAAAACCTTCATTGTCCAATCCTGACAGTTCCTCGTCTGCTTCTAGCTCGTCATCATCACCCAGCAAGCTCTGGAGACCCTCTCCAGGGGCTGGACCGCCGGTTGCTTTGGTTAATTCAGTGGAGTATGTGGTCTCGAATCTCTCAGTACTTACAGTACTGTAGAAAACTGAAGGAGTACAGAAAACAGTATGAATGAAAATGACATCAAACACACGAGACAGTACTGAGGTATAAATACTCCATTCGCACAATAAAGGAGCAGTAATAGGGCAATACAAGATCATGTGAGGAAGTTCCTACACAGGAAGACATACATACAGTATGTGCTGATGATACACACTGCTGAAATCAGATCATTTTATTACACTTCTTCTACAGACGCCAGGATCAAAGTTTTTTTTTTTTTTAGGAACTCCTACTGGAGCTTCATTCAAACACAGTGGCCCATTATAAAAGGCTCATCTATATTTATAAGAGACCATTTGAGCTTGTAATCAGGATACCGCCAAAACCCATACAACCAGTTTACAACAGAAACATCAATACACAATCACACAATGCACTGATTCACAGGGACACTATTGAAGAATATAGGCCATTTCCCTATTGACTATGAAAGAGAACTCACCATCAGATTCACTGAAACGTTTGTTTCATTTTTTTTAAAAGAAAAAAAAATCTCTCACCTGCCTGACACGTTCTCGCTTGTAGGGGCATTTCTTACCCCCACCTCCACTTCCCTCTCTTATCAGTTTACTTTTCACCCCTTTTGCTTTTCACTCATTTTCACACATAAACTATCTCTCTTACACACACACACACACACACACAGCCAAGCATTAGTACTACAGTTCCAGACTCACCGAAGCACAGCAGACAGGTGAAAATAAGAGTGTTCATATCCCAGGAAGAGTGTGTGTGTGTCGTTCCTGTTCAGATCAGTTTGTGTACGTCCTGGTCTTGGATTGTTCTTTGCTCTCTGCTGGGTGCAGCTTTTATAGGCTCTAAGGGGAAAGAAAAGAGGGTGTGTGTGCGTGTGTGTGTGTGTGTGTGTGTGTGCGTGTAAATGTTTGCCTCTGGCAACACATTTTGCTGCACATGCTCTCAAACATGACGACGCTGCTGTTAAGGAATAACAAGTCAGACGCAGGGCAGGTTGATGTATTCTGGCTTGCTCCTGGATGACATTAAGAACAGAACAGAAAAACTTTTTCCACTTCTTTAACTGTTATTGCTTCCTGACATCTGACCCGATGGTTACGAAAGGTTCTTATTGTAGCTCCTTTTTAATTCACACCTCACTCAGATTTTTACTCCTATTTCTCTGAGGACACTTAATTTAAGTTAACACTTTTGAAGTTTTGACGTTAAGTTGAACCAATACAAGTAAATGCCTGATTCTCTTAACTGATTTTAAACAGAATAAACAAGACTTTAAATATTCAGTTGTGTTCTACGGCAAAACCTACATACTGCCTGGTGTGCGTTGTTGATGCCAAATTTTTTTAGAAGAAATATATAGAGCAATAATTAAAACCTTGACCATCTTAAGCGTTTTTTTAGCACATAAGTTTGAATACTAAATGCTGATTAGGTATAAACATGATTCAATAGTTGAACAACTTGCCTAGCCACAGCCAGTGGTGAAGATGGTGGTTCAGGAAAACAGACCATTTTATATTATGATCTAATTTAGAGGAAAAGGTATGACAAAGAACCGCTGGAGACAGTACAGTGGAACCTCAAGATACAAGCGTCCCAACATACCAGTATTCTGAGATACGAGCAAGTCAAATTTTTGGTTCAAGATACGAGTAAAGACTCCAGATACCAGCAAGCTTACAGACGCCGGAAGCAGCACTTGGAGCAGCCCATGCCGCCTCACTCGATCACTTCACGTGTTCGTCGACTTCCGTACTCATCTCCCGTGAGTCTTCCATATTGCGTTTGCGTTATCTACGTGATTGTCTCTCTATTTTGTGCATTATTCTTCATAATAGTGATGAGTCCTAAGAGAGTGAGTGGTAAGGATGGTGATGAGAAGAAGAAACTCATGATGATCATTGAAATAAAGAAGGAAATTGTTGTTAAATATGAGCGTGGTGCCCGCTGGTGAGAAAGAATACACATCGAAAAACGCCTCTATAGCGATTCGAATTTGAGATACGAGCTCGGTCCTGGAACGGATTATGCTCGTATCTCGAGCACTGTCAGTGTTTAAACTTGCTCCTGTTGTACACCCTTTTTATTTATTAATTCTCCTCCAAGTCCGTTAAGAAATCACAAGTATTTTCCTCATGTCAATTTTACTTAGATTCAGGTTCTACACCAAAATACAGATTTTAGTTTGTTATTGGACAAAATTGTGCTAGCAGTTTGCAAATTAAATGTGGTTGTTTTTTTTTTCATTAATGCTCATCAAACACCATGTTGTTTATTTGTATGTTTTTCCTGATACAACAGGGAATTTCCCTCTGTGTATGTGATGTGATCAAACCAAGGAGAGTGTTACTATTTTAGTGTATTGTGTGTGACCTGCGCACAAGTGTGTTTTGAATATGTTGTTATGTCTGCAGACACGGCTTGTCACTACATTTATACGCTAGTGGAATTCAGAAGAGGGCGGCATGGAATGAAGGAAATTTGTTTTATCCCATTTCTCCGCATCTTGTTTATAACTGGTCTGACATGTCGGGGTTTCAATTGTGTGTAATGACATTGAGGATGTGACTGTGAACGCACAAGGCACTTTGTTACAGGCACCTTCGTCAGACACTAGAGGGAAAATAAAAATAATTCAAAAATGTCTGTGAAGATCATGAAAAAGTATTTTTGTCTTTTGTCTTATAAAAAATAGTATGAATTACAAATCCAACACTAACGTGAGCGTGATACACATGGAGATGTTGTTTTGTTAGAGCCACACGCAAGGATACAACGTCCATACGCATTACTCACGGCATGAGCAACCAACTGTTAATTATGCAACATACGTGAGAAGGCGCGTACCTATAATTAGCATGATGTGGTGATTATAGCAATGTCTGTCCACAGGCCTAAATTTAGAATCAGTGTGTGTGTATGTGTTTGTGTGTGTGTGCGTTTTAACCGTAAATAGTGAAATAAAGTTAATGTTTACATATAAACATTCAACAGCGATGCTTCAGAAAGTCGTTAACAACACTTCACTGATTCTAGCTGCAGCACTAATGAGGATCCAGTGTGTAAAGTGATGTTATTGGTTAACTTGACACATGGACACTTCGGTGACAATGACTGCCAAACTTAGACATTACTTTCCATCATTCAGACAAAGTATTTCCAAAGTATTCCAATCAAACGTCAAATTTATCATATATTTTCTTGGTAGAAACACTTTTGGTTTGTGTGCTGTATCTGTTAAAAAAAAAAAGAAAGAAAATCAAGGTTGTCGTCCAAAGTTTTGGATTCTATTTTAAATTGAGAAAGTCCATTGTTAGCTTGCAGAACGGATGCAGCAACAGATAATATTTATATTATATATTTAAAAAAATAAATATTAAATAAACAATAAACAAATATTACAATATAAATCACTTGTCACTGTTTATTCAGTGGGATTCAGAGAGCCTGTTGTTTTGCGTGTCTGCTCACACAACTATTGTGTGAAACAAGACAAACAGAAGTTATCGCCATGAATCACTAAACCTCTTAATGTGAAATTATCCACCAGCTGGGAAAGGTTAGTCTGCTGTCTACCGATGACCCAATAAAGAGTCATCATCTCCATCACAGATTAAATCATTCACACAATAGAGGCCTATTCAAAAATCACTTTTAAAATGTGGATAAAAAGTATCTTAGTAATGAACAAAATCTAATGCTACCAAAAAATAAATAAATCTGACACTGATTTCAATTTCATTCTTTAATCAGTAAAGAAGAAAGTAAAGTGATTGAACCATCGCTCTCATAGTTTTTTTTTTTTTCAAATTTACACAGGGAAAACAACTTACCTACCTTTTTATTAACACATTTTCTTTCTTTGTCTTAGAACTTTTTGACTTACACGCTGAACGTGTTCAACAATTGGCGATGTTGTGACAAGTTAATCGGTTGACTTCACGTATAAAATAAAAATAAAAATATACACAAACATACTAGGGGCAGTGGTGGCTCAGTGGTTAAGGAAGTTGGGTCCAGAAGGTTGCAGGTTCGAATCCACCAGATGCCAAGTTACCACTGAGCTGCTCAGAGCAGTCTGTCTATCCGTCTTTTTGTCTGTCTATCTATATGTCTATCAATCTTTTTTTGGGGCAGTGGTGGCTTGGCGGTTAAGGTTCCTGCTCTCCTTAAAGCTGTCCACTGTTCACTTTGGTGATGAGTTAAAAACAGAGGTCACATTTGGTTGTGTGCAGTGGTGAGCTGTGTCACAATGACAAGGAGTTCACTTTCCTTTCTTTCCTTCCTTCCAAAAAATATTAATGTACTGTTGGTGTAATTCTCACAACAACAAATCAGTGGCTAAATGAAAGTGACACAAATATAAATACAACTTTTAATTTTTTTTTATTAAATTTGTCTGATATATAAATGCATTGATAATACTGCGAAAAAGAAAGTTTTGAAATATCATTGTGAAATATTTGGACCTTAGATATTTTTTTGTCTATTGATCATATTGAAGAAAAATGTGAGAACAGCTTCAAGACATGAGAAAAATGTGAAGCCTGTGCAGTAACCTTCGGATTATACAAAAATATGATGTTGTGGCTGAAGGCATTGAGAAATAAAACATACATATCTGATTAAAAAAAAATCCAGTATATATATTATCATGTATAAATTAATACAAAATATAAAAAACATTCTTACAGAAATAAAAAATAGTCTTAAAAAAATATGTCTCTAACATTCAGTGGCCAGATTTAATGGAATGGCTTGTGTTAAAACAGATATTTAAATATGTATCGTGGGTTTTGATGAGATAAGAGACAATAAATAAAGAAAATTATGCAGAAAGACGGAATACTGTATATAAAGAAACCAAGCTTGGCGTAGTGAAAGGGTGTGTCTAACATCTGTTCCTTAGTAAACAATCAGAAAGATTAAACATTGTTTCCCATAGACTGGGTCGTGAACCTCGGATGGGTCGCAAAAGATTTTTTTTTTTTTTTTTGGGTCATCTCGCATCATATTTCCCAGGCGTTTACCAATAATGTCTATTGACTTGGGTCGTGAAGATTTGTGACTTAAAATATGGGTCCCCAGAAAACAGTTTCAAGCAAAATGGATTTCAATCTTGGGTGTATCTTGTGACTCTATTCTAAAACAGAAAACCTCAGGAAGATTCTGGTTAAAAAGTAATCTTTTTTTTAAAAAAAAACCCTAATTAGGTGCAATGATTTGTGTAATCTGTATTTGTTGAACAGAGACAAATAAAATAGAGACCATTCTTTTACCGCCCAAAACATTTGTCATTTCCGAGCAGCCTGACTGGTTCATTACTGTACAATAACATACAAACTCCCACAGTAAGACCAAACAACTATGACCAAATGCCATAAAATCAAACAGTGGGCTGTGTGTCATGGTTTTATAGGGGCCATTAGACATTACACCAGAACCTGGAGCTGCTGCAAACGTCTATTGCACCAGACGTAGAACAGTTTCATGTCTTGTAAAAAGGTTTTAATCTCCTGTTTGATACGTGACCCAGTGTCGTGTGCTGTAAGTGGCTGTGACTAAGTTATGGTAGTGTAATCAGGAAACGTCACTGCTATGTTGTAATTTCTCAGTTAGGAAACTGGAAATTCCTGGTTGGATTTTCCTGCTTTTGCGCCGTGGGTGAGAGGGAGACACTGCAAACAGTCCCTCGATGATCCTGACGCCTGTTGTGATGCAAGCAGTCTTTTTTTCTTATAACTGAGGAATGAAAAACACATGAGTAACAGATTAAATGGTAGTTAATTCAGACTTCTTTTTTTTTTAAAGTAAAGTCCCAGTTCATGGTCAAAGGTGTGATACAGATGTCACAGATGTAGAAAAACCACCAGTCCCACTTATTTCCATTGCAGTAAACCAGTATACCAAGTTTGTGTGTGTATATTAATATAGTATATTTAATTAATATAAAAAATATAAAGAAATATATAATTATGTGTAAGTATGTTGTGTTTTTACTAGAAAATATATTTTAATGTTTCCAATGTCAATAGATCACATTAACCTGGTCATTTAAATAGCATACGCAGCTACCAAGCCAACAAAGGAGCAGACACTCGATTTGGGGCTCGACCCTTGCACCCTTTTTACTGTAAGTCCCCACGTGGGAGCGTCCAAAGACTCGATGATGATAAAATGACATTCCTTGTTTGTCATATGACAAGTCTCTGCACGAAACAGGATGTGACAGGAACTCCTGTCATTACACACTCTGGGTAAAGTGGAAACAGACCTGCAGGTTGTACTTGATGAAAGGGTCTCAATCTGAGTCACCGGTAAAAAAAAAAAAATTCTACATCTACACTTTGTCAATAAATGTCTGTGACACGACCTCACGAGGAAACATGTAGGGGTTAAAGTTTATCACCTCAGTGTCACAGAGAACTAGGATTTTTGTCATTAATTAAATCAAATCTAAAACATTTGTAGGACTTCCTGTTACTGGGTGAACCTCATGTTAATCTTTCACTTTTATTTCATTACAAATAGGGAGTGCAATGTCAATGAGTACAACAGAAATCATACACATTATCTCTGGCTACACATATGAATGCAGTGGAACATATATGTATTTGTTAATATTTGACTTATCACTAAAAGTTAAACACTGAACCATTATAATTTTTTAGAATATCTCAAAACGTAAACCTTTCCGTGAAGTAGAAACACATTTCATTCTCTCTGAGTCACAAACTTTAAATATAAATCCATGTAGGATGTATCTGAATTTTGAATCTGATTTTCCAGACCTATTTATTTATTTATCATATTATTGGTTTATCGCTGTAAACAAAAGCAACAAAGATGTACATGAAATCCTTACCGTTTACAGCAGAAGTACAGGGCTCCGGCCAAACCGATGAGCAACAGACACACACAGAACACTGTGACAATCATCTGCTCTTCTGCCATTGGCTGGAAGACCAGCTCTGCTTTGGCACATCTGGGACCATAGAAGCCTCGCTCACACCTGCAGCACAAGGTGTGTCAGCATTGTGCACAGACAATTGTCCTCACCAGGACCATAGTTTTTTTCACAAATACCTCCCTAACAGGTACAGAAATAAAGAGCTCATACTTGCAGTGGTGTACGTTCATGTCCACCAGCAGCATACACTGGCCTTGGTTCAGACAGTAGTTGTCAAACGTGCTGTCACAGTTCTGCGTTGACCTCTTGGCCGCATGAGGGCGCTGTTTGCTGTCTTAAAAAAGAGAATCATTCGAACAATTACACTCATTATTCTATCTGTTGTACTCGATAAGTTTTCTTTTCATACAGTTCCTAATGATAAGTGTTAGTATTAGTACTGCATATACATTATTGTTGGTGTGAATACCTGCAGAGAGAGTCGTGATGTCTGTAGTGTTCGGTCTGGATGAAACAGTGGTGGTGAGAACGTATGGCCACAGCAGCATCAGACCTGTAGAACAGAGAACATGTTTGCCATCAGCAGCAGTGCATGAGGTCAAGCACTAAAAAAGTGACATGGTAACCAGTGCTGTAAAATACACTTTTTAAAATAACTGAAATATTTAAAAACTGATACAGAAAATATTTTATGAATAAAGAAATTAGGCAAATTCTAATTAAAAATGTAGGGATTTCTTAAGACAGAGACATGAACTGTACGTAGGAAGATAATTCCAGAGGGAGGAGGCGGACGTGGAAAAGGTTCTGACAGGATTTGATCAGACATTCAATCCACTTCACATTTCATTAACAGGCATATCAGTTTTTTGCGTAATTTTTGTGCTGCAGCAGAAAAATGCAGCAGAGTGACAGAAGGAAAATATTCAGTCTCTTTGAAGAAATATTAGTTTTGGTTTGTAAACGGTCCTAAAGTCGAACGTGAGGCAGTGTGCTGGCTTGTGTTGCCAGGTCCATGTACATGTTGTGGCCTGCACCTCTGTGTAACATGAAGCATTTGCAGACGCCCACATTCCTACAGGTAGACCGGAGGGGAAAAAAAGAAGCAAACATGGCTCTGGATGTGAGGTTTGCTCAGCTGTAGTCGTTTTGAAATGTGGATGAAAAAGTGGCCTCTGCGGTTTAGGTTCTCACCACATCTGTCATTGTCTGTGGACATGTTTTATTCAGTGTGGTGATTTAGGACATTGTTTCCCAAAGACTGGATCACGACCCCACAGGTGGGTCGCAAGAGATTTTTTTTTTTTTTTTTTTTGGGTCGTCTTGCATCATGTTTTTAAGGAGTCTACCAATAATGTCTTTTGATTTGGGTCATGAAGGTTTGTGACTTTAAAATATGAGTCTCCAGAAAGAAAGTTTGGGAAACACTCGTCTAGGACGCTGGTCACTGGAAAATTCCAAAATACGGTTTAAGTGACAAAGCATATTAACTGTAAAAAAAAAAAAGATTAATCTGACTCAACCTACTGACATAATTCTCCTCTGACTCACTCCAATAAGACGTATGTTGGTTATCACGACGGTATCGAGGTGATTCACTTTAATGGAGAGTATTTATGACCAGAAAGCGGGACAAGAGTCGAGTAGCTGCAGTGACACGACCCATATGATAGACAGCAGTCCAAAGAGGAGGGGTTTTCAGTGATACTACTACAGTAGATCACCTCATAGTCACAATTTGTTTTGCAAAATCAGTGGAAATGCTCATAAAATCAGGTAAACTAAGTATATCATGGATCACCTTAAATATCTAACTTAAACAACATCCGTGAAGTTAAAATAATGACGAAGGTGTGAGCATCACTGATTCAGTTTCCGACCCTTATACTAATTAGACACATTTTTCCAGCATGTTTTACTGAAGTAATAGCACGTATTTGCATTTACAATGCTTAATAAAGTCCATAGTTTGATTGTTTAACATAGTGTTTCCCAAAACGGGGAGCGACCCCCTCCATTGGAACCAAAGAGTTATTAGAATTTAAATTGTTTTCCTTGTTTGTGCAGGAGTCTGATGTGGTGCGCGGTTGACAATAGTGTAATGTCCCTGTGGTTTCATTGTGTAGCGTTTGTCACGCCTGGGTACACATCTGATTGACATTCAGGAACCACGCATTTGGCGTCTCCTGTTAGCCAGCCTGTGATAGCAGATCTGCTGTTACCAGAACAGTTTCCTCAATGTGGGATCAATTAAGTTTGTGTGTGTTCAACTTTAAACTTTCTTTTTACACAAAGTTAGCTTTACAACTGGTCAGATGTCATCAAAGTCATCAGAGTCTATAAACTCTGACGCATGTTGTGATTTTTTTTTTTTTTTTTTTGGTTCATTGAATTCTCAGGTGGAAGACTGAGCACCTTTTTTTCAAATTTATCTTGATGCTGCAAAATAAAAAATATTCCACTAGAGGTTTTATTGCCAAAATCCCTCCTCGTCCCTCAGGCTCAGCAGGAGTGTTACCACAATAAAAACAGGAATGTGACAGTCTTTCATCTGACTCCAAAGCGTCTATTGCAGAACATGCTTGGTTTCCGTTACTGATGTTACTGACAGCTGTAAAGGTGAACTAGTGGTGAAGAGTACTACAGTGGTGTTATTTGATGAACGGCACTGACAAAACAGTGGTTCTTAGAGAGAAAGAATTTAGAGATTAAGAAACAAAAATAATTTTACAGGAGTTTAGACAATACACGTTCAAGCAACCATGTAAGTACTTGGCCCTTGAGCCATACTTTAGACACACCCTGTTTATTTTACAAAGCTGGAATTATTTCAGATTTTTGAGACACCTGAAATGAAAGAATGCATATGTCGTCTGAGGCTGAGGATCAGCTGAACATTCTTTAGTTTTTGTATCTCTAGCCCATTGTTAATATGAACATTTTATTTTTATGTTTGCTTTTAATCATAAAATAATTATATATTTATATATTGAGCTCTCGTTATCTGACTAGTGCAAGTGTATTAATCAACACTTGTTATTTGGTCCAACCAAAACAATCCATTTAGGGTTCAAATATGGGATCCATCACATTAAGAATGTTTAGTAAATATCTCACAGCCACATAGGAACTTAGAATATCTATCAGGACTTAAAGACAAAAACGAAGTAAGTTTGATAATCTAAGAATCTATATTAACATATAAAAGGACAGGGAAAAATATAAAACATATATATATATATAATGTATATAAATAAATATAAGAACATTTAAAAATATATAAATATATAAAAAAAATAATATATAAAACGGGAATATATTCTACTACTAAAAGCTGTGGTTGGGTTGTTTAATAGTTCTGTGTCAATTCATAGGTTTTTACAGAAAAAACCAACAAAGTGAGCCAAAAATAACCACATGCCCCTTACTTTGACCATTCAATCATTGAAGAACTTACCCAGCAGTGAGAGCAGTGCAGGAGGATTGTGTCCCCACATTTCTGATAGGATGGTGGCTGAGGCAAGAGAGGAGGCGAGGGAGGACGCAGGTTCAGTGTGAGCCACAGTGGATCAGAGACACTTCCCACATGGTGAATTATCTGGGAGGTGAAGGGGGAAGACTCTCAAAGGAAACCAATGGGGTCCATCATCCTGAGCTCTGGGTGTGGTGACGGACGCCCATGACAACTGTATATTTAGATGAAAATCAAAGCCTGCGGGGCAAAGCGAAACCAGCGGGGAGGCTGCTCCACCTAATGCTGTCTGTCGGTTACTGATGGAAAGTTACATGGTGAAAAATAAACCACACACTAAATATTGAAGGCAGTCAAGTTTCACTAGAAACAACGGTGCTTTTGTTTGTCTTTTGTCTTAACTGAGTTGTACAGTATGTTAGTAAAGTTAATATTTTATGAATTTGTCCTCCAGGTTTGGACACGTGGTCAAATGTCTTCCTGTCTCCTGTGTGTATTTTTAACACAGGCACGGTGTCAAATACATTATAGAAACAGACGTGAGGTGCAGCCCCAAGGCACGTTTTACCAAACTAAGACAAAGGATTAACTCAGGACTTTTCACTAATCCTGGCTTTTTAAAGCTTTTCTCAGTTTCATGACAGCAGAAACAAATAAGTTGCCATAGAGATTTATTTCTTTATATATATATTTATAGTTTCGTCTGGGAGTAATCCCAGAGTGTTACTTTGTTCCTTTAGGGCAGTGGAACCAAACCTTTTTCTACTGCAGTGTGGAGTATTTGTGTATTTGTTGCTGTACAAATGCACTTGATATTTTCTATGGCTCAATACATAATATTAAAATTCTAAAATAAATCGTATAATTGACAGACACATTTAATATATTTAATTCAGATGAATGAGTTAATTGAGTTTAGTGTTAGTGTGATGTTCAAGAGAAAAAGTTAGTTAGTTTACAACATAATCTGTTCCAAGACCGAGCTTTGGGTATTTGTATCTCAAATCATTTCTTTCCCATAAGTATTAACAGAAAAAAAAAGAATCTGTTCCTTCATTCTAAAAACCTCATTAGTGCTAATAACAATGGAAAAAAAACATGTTTTAATTGCTATAGTACGGAGCCCCTAAAGGGACATGGGGCGGGGGGGAGAGAAACGTATCTCGTGCGCATTTGATACTTTCTCATGCTCACGAGATACTTTCTTGTGAGCACGAGAAAGTACAGTATATCTAAGACATTTTTCCACACATACATACAGGGTAATGCATTACAATAACAAACAATCATGTACAGTACGTACGGTTGGGAATCTATGATACTGGCAAGTCATGTGTGACATGTACTGTATATATGGAGAGCATTTAATTAATATAGCGTACCTCAGTTAGACACAGGAGGGCACTGTTGCTGTTGTTGTTCTATTGTTGATAACAGTGTTGGGAGGTTCGTGAAGGGTAAATATACGTATATCATTAATAACTATCTCGACTCTACTTCGCGAATGTTCCCATTTGTTGAGTCTTGAAAAGCAACAACTGCGATAGGAGAGGGGCCAGTGTATTCCGTGATAAATTTCACGTAATAACGTGATGTCTGTAAAGCACACCGAGTTAGGTTTGTGCATGAAATGCTCTCTATAAATAAAATTGAAATTAATGAAAGTCCACCTGCGAGCCAAGAATATGGCTCGTTTACACGATTCAGTTGAATTGTACTTTATGCTTGGCTTTAGGCATGGTAAGATTTTACAATTATTGGGCTGAGTAGATGAGATTTTTATTGGTATGTGTACTCTCAGAAGGATGAGGAGGATGAAGGATGAGGATGATTTACGTATATACGTACTTACCCTCAACGAACCTCCCTGCACTGTTATCAACAGTAGAACAACAACAGTGCCCTCCTGTGTCTAACTGAGGTATCCTACATCAATGAAATGCTCACCATATATATAGTACATATGTATGTCACGCATGACATGCCCCTCACTGCCATAAAGATCTAAATAAATAAATCTACAGGCAAGCCAAGTCCCAGCTCGCACCTCGGATCACAAGTCCCATCCTGACAAATTCAGAAGCAAGTGCATTTAAAAAGTGTGTGACAGCTAATGGTCAGAGAATGATCCGTTCATAGCGAAAAAGATTAGTTCACAGAGAATGATAGTGTGTGACAGCTAATGGTCAGAGAATGATCCGTTCATAGCGAAAGATTAGTTCACAGAGAATGATTCGTTTGGAATGAATGATTAGTTCACTGAGAAATATTAGTTCACAGTGAAAGATTAGTTCACAGAGAATGATTCGTTTGGAATGAATGATTAGTTCACAGTGAAAGATTAGTTTGCAGAGTAATTAGATCGTGGTGAAAGATTAGTTCACAGTGAAAGATTAGTTTGCAGAGTAATTAGATCGTGGTGAAAGATTAGTTCACAGTGAAAGATTAGTTCATAGTGAATGATTCGTTTGCAATGATAGATAAGTTCACTGTGAAAGATTAGTTTTCAGAGTTATTAGAACAAAGCGAAAGATTCGTTCACAGTGAAAGATTAGTTTGCAGAGAGTAATTCGTTCGTAGTGAAAGATTAGTTCGCAGAGAGTGATTTGTTTGCAGTCAAGATTAGTTCGCAGTGATTTGTGCGTTCAATATGAACAAATATTTAATATGACTTGGTAGTCACGAGTCACGAATCTTTCATATGACTCGGGAGTCACGAGTCACATGAAAGATTCGTTCATTTTGAACGAATCACTCACGAACGACACATCACTACTCGGTAGTCACGAGTCCCGAATCTTTCATATGACTCGGGAGTCACTAGTCATGTGAAAGATTCGTTCATTTTGAACGAATCAATCGCGAACGACACATCACTAGCATAAAAGTAACATAACTTAGAGCTGGAGAAAGAACGTTATTCTGTGCTGTTGGCTGATGGCTATGTTCTCTATGTTTCAGTTAAGTTGGCGTCAGTATTTGGTTTCAGTGGTGTCATAAGATAAAGTAACATGTAATGAAGTGAATATGTAAAACTGGACGTTATCTTTGTGTGATATAATTGTGTTTCTTGTGTTAGCCGATTAAGCCAGCCACTAGGGTACACGAAGCCGTGTTTATAGTGCCGGTCCCAAGCCCGGATAAATGGTGAGGGTTGCGTCAGGAAGGGCATCCGGCGTAAAACGTTTAGCTAAATCAAATATGCAGATCAATAAAACGATTTCTATACCGGATCGGTCGAGGCCCGGGTTAACAACGACCGCCAA